ACAGTTTTGGAGGCTAGAAATCTGAGATCAAGGTGTTGGCGGAGCTGGTTCCTTCCTTGTGGGCCATGAGGGAAACATCTGTTTAGGCCCATGACCTGGCCTGGTGGATGGACGGCTTTTCCCTGTGTCTCCACATCGCCTTCTCTGTTTCTGTGTCCAAATTTCCTCTTCTGTAAGGACACCAGCCTCATTCGATTTGGGCCCACCCTTGTGACCTCCTTTCAACGTAATCACCTGTGTACAGACTCCAAGTATGGTGACATTTATTTGAGGTACTGGGGTTAGGACAAAAAAACATAAATTTTTTGTGGGGGCCACAATTCTTCCCACAACATACCTCGACCTGGCAGAGTATATAGCTCCGAGGGTGGCAACCTGCTGGCCCTATCCAGATATTTGAAGCATCGACGCTTAGGGAAGCAACTAGATTTATTTTGCACTACTTAGATGTTAAAACTGGATGGTAACTGTGTAAATGGAAAAATAACCCAAATTTGCTAGGTGGGGGGAATTATCTGACCAAGTTTGCTTTGTGAAAAACATTTCCCTACTAATGAGACACCTCATTTCTCCATAAGTTCGAGAGCTACACTACCTAGGAGAAAATAGAATGTAAGCCACTTAGGAAATTTAACATTTTCTAGAAGTCATATTAGAAGAGGTAAAAAGAGGGGCGCCTGGGTGGCTCAGTCATTAAGCATCCGCCTTGGGCTCAGGTCATGATCCCAGGGTCCTGGGATCGAGCTCCGTGTCGAGCTCCGTGTCGGGCTCCCTGCTCAGCAGGGAGCCTGCTTCTCCCTCTCCCACTCCCCCTGCTTGTGTTCCCTCTCTCGCTGTGTCTCTCTCTGTCAAATAAATAAATAAAATCTTTTAAAAAAATAAATAAAAAAGAGGTAAAAAAGGTAGAATGAATTCTAACGATAGAGTTTATTTAACCCAATATGTTTATTTCAATATATAATCAATATCAGCAATTATTAATGAGCTATTTTATATTCTTGTTTTCATTCCCTGTCTTTGAAGTTGTATAGCACATCTCCGTTGAACTAGCCACATTGTAAGTGTTCAGTAGCCACAGGTGGCTAGTGAGCCCATCTTGGAAATGCAGGCACAGAGCGTGCATTCTCACCTGGGGCCACATCACCTCCAAAAACATGAAGGGACAAAAAAATCTTTTTTTGAGGGACAAAAAAAAAAATCTTTTTTTATTTTGTATACAGATATACGTACGACATATAAATAGAGTATGTGATATTAAAATTTCATTGAGGATGATTAGGAAAATAAATGTCTAAAAGGGCTCCTTAGTGGGACAATAATGAAAAAAAAATAAGTTGCAAAGCAGCAGCTTCTTACATCATTATATTAGTTTCACTATGGATGTGTTGATGAGATAAGGATTCAAGTAAACCAGTTTCTATCAAATAAAGAGAAGTAAATGGAAATTTACCGTGCATCATCCACCATTATTTAAGACAAGTATGTTACCAGTGTTCTCTCTTTCAAGGCAGATGTTTATTGGGGGAGAAAAAAAACCTTATAACTTGCAACAGGCAAGTTAAAGTTGAATTCTTAGAGGCAATATACTTACAAGACACAGGTTTGTCTACATTTTCAGCTCGCTGGTTCTCCTTGGGACTTTATATCACTGTGTTCCTGACCCAAAGCCTTGCTTGTTGTAGGCCTATGTCAGCGGTTCTCAAAGTGTGGTCCCTGGACCACCACCAGCAGCAGGACTGAGGGCTTATTAGAAATGCGTATTTTCAGACTCCAGCCAAAACATATTGAATGAGAAACTCTGGGGAAAGGGCCCAGCAATCTGTGTTTTAACAAGTCCTTTTAGTAAATCTGCTGCACCCAGAAGTTTGAAAACCGCCGTCTTAATTGGAATCCATGTCTTATGGTTATAGATGGAGAGAAATAAGAAATAGACCTTTGGAGAGTTGTCTCCATTTTTCTGCAGTAAAATGCAGCAAGAGTTACAGTCTGTCTGCAGTTGCCTTGGAAATGAAGGATGACCATATATTTCAAACTTCAAACTAGAGCATATGTTCTGACAATTAGGAATACTTGTGATCTGGGTTGAGTGGCTACTTTGGTACGGGGAGAATATAGGCACTTGCAGCTATGTGGGAGGTGGGAAAAAAGCAGGTGGAATTGAAAATGGATATTCATGTATTTCTGGGTCAAATCCTGCCTTGGATGGCAAGAATGCCAAGTTCCAGCTGATCTTGGAATGTTAGAGGTGATTGTAGAGGAAGCAGGCAGGTAGCCGAGATAAATGATAGTTTAACAGAGTGACTGTGGCTGGAAGAGTGGAGTCAAGAAAATATTGAACAAAGGAGCTGTAATTTTGAAGGAGGAGAAGGAATAAGCTAGAAATAGCAGTATCGGAAGCAAACGAGGCAGCCTAGTACAGTGTTCTAAAATATAAATTTGAGCAGGTTTACCCTGCTGAGTTTAAATATTTGATTGTCTGGGATCCTTGCAGTCAATTATCACCAAGATCCCGATTAGAATCTTGTCAGATGCTCTCGTCAGACACTCTGATAAGAAAAGGAACCGATCTGAGACTATGTTAAAACTGCAGGTTAATTCCAGATTCACCGGAATGTGGGGATGTGTGCTGCGTGAACCTGTCAGAAAGTTTCATTTTGCCTGACTCTAGAGATGATGGGTGATAAAACAGACCTGAAAATACTTCTGTGATTTATTGCAAATATTGCTGTGAACTTTTATGTACATAATCTCATGGAAGAAGCTTAAACTACTTTAAAAATGTTCTTTCATTATCATATTAAATTTGTTTTCGAATGTCTTTTTTTTACATTTGGAACTAATTTTGAAATCTTAAAATTTCAGCCGAATTTCCATGTAAAAGCACAATACTTGTGAAAGATATTTTCCAAACTGCACGTTAAGAATACACCTTGAGAGGGCGCCTGGGTGGCTCAGTTGGCTAAGCGACTGCCTTCGGCTCAGGTTATGATCCTGGAGTCCTGGGATCGAGTCCCACATCAGGCTTCCGGCTTGGCGGGAAGCCTGCTTCTCCCTCTGACCCTCTCCCCTCTCATGCTGTTTCTCTCTCTCTCTCTCTCTCTCTCTCTCTCTCTCTCTCTCTCTCTCAAATAAATAAATAAATAAATAAATAAATAAATAAAATCTTAAAAAAAAAAAAAGAATACACCTTAAGAATATCGGGATAAAACAGAATGGCAGTACTCAAAAACTTAAACACAGGACAATTGAATGATCCAGTTATTCCACTGCTGGGTATAAAACAGTTGAAAGCAGGGACTCAGATATTTGTGAACCTGTGTTCACAGTGGCAGTATTCACAATAGCCAAAAGGTGGAAACAACCCAAATGTCCGTTGACGGCTGGGTGGATAAACAAAATATGATATGTGCATACAATAGAATATTATTCAGCCTTACAAAGGAAGGAAATTCTGACACCTGCTACAACATGGATGACCCTTTAACACATGATGCCAGTCACAAAATAAACCACTCACAAAAAGATAAATATTGCATGATTCTATTTATATGAGGTATCAAGACTACTCAAATTCATAGAGACAGAAAAGTAGGTGGTGATTTCCAGGGCCTTGAGGGAGGGGAGAATGGGGAGTTAGTGTTTAATGAGTGTGGAATTCCAGTTGGGAAGGTGAAAAAGTTCTGGAAATGGGTGGTGGTAATGACTGCACAATAGTGTGAATATATTTAATGCCACTGAACTTTATACTTAAAAATGGTATCGGTATTAACCTATTTATGTTATAGGTATGAACCACGATAAAAAAGAATGCCATGATAAACTTTCATTTACTATTTTAATAAATCAGTTTTATGCATAATCCACTAATAATAAATAATTTTATGAGCCAAGTATTTGGTCCAAGTATTTTACCCAAATTATCCTCTTTAATTCTCACTGAGACCCTCTGAGGTAGGTATTATTATTACTTTTTTTCAGTTGTAGTTGTGTAAGATGAGACACTCAGAGGGGACAGGCATCCCCAAGGGGATGGCTTTCAGAACCTAGCTTTATGATAAGACTCACCATGTAGACTAAAACCATTGATCTGTTCTTCTCATCGGGATAACAGTCCTCAATTCCAAAATTATTTCTGCAAGTTCTAATTTTCATTATAAGTCTTTTTAATCAGGTAGAGGATATGCCATACCTTGGTTATAATGTGTATGAAAAAGTTCAAATAAACTGATAATTTATGTCTCTTTTAAAAATGTAATTCCTGCAAAGGCCCAAGTATTTCAGTATAAAAATCCATATCCAGTGACATGTGTTTTCTTGTGCAGATGGTATGCCTTTCTGAAAATTGCCAAAAGAAAAGAACACATATTTTAGAAATGTTTAATATTATAATTACAGTGCATGCCGTTTTTGCTTTATAATGTGCATGCTTTAAACTCTGAAGACTATTTGCCTGTGATGTTTTATTTTATCTTATGAAATTTAAATTTGTAACAATTTCGTGTATATCTTTCTGAAAATGTAGATCATGGCCTTATTTACTGTTACCTTGGAAACAGCAATGCCCAAATAGTATGTTTACTCTCTTTAGTACTATTAAAGATCATTTTATAGCACAAATGTAATTTAAAATATTACATTCAAGCATGGATTTTAATTAATTTTACTTATATAAAATAGGTAATGGTGTTTAATCTTAAAATTATTTGGAAAACTAGATAGCACTTTTTAATAGAAAACATGTCAATTTGTCTTAATAAATATATGCATTGCTGGGCTTTTTCTTTACAAGTAATGCACAGACATTCTAATTATTAGTAAAGAAGCTCAGTTATGTGTTAATAATGCTGTGAAGTTAGGATGCCATGTCTATTTTTTTGAAATTTTTGCTAATCATTGATGACCTTGGAGAAACTCTACAATTATTATTTGTTAAGCGACTCCTGGGTAGGACTTTCTACAGTGATATATGTTGATATTTGTGTTTTTTCTTATATTTCTAGGACTCCGCTATTGTGACTCCAATTATTTTGAGGACTGACCCTCAGGGATTTTTCTTTTACTGGACCGATCAAAATAAGGTAAAGAGTGAGATATGTCTTTCTTACATTTTCCAGTTGGTTGCTGATTTGCCAAGTGTTTAAGTTACCTACAAGTATATCCTTGTACCTACAAGTTACTTAAGTATATCCGTTTCATGGGTGACCCTTTGTAATTTATTTAGATTCTACTTAGAATCTCTTAGGTGGAAATGTCTTAGGATTTTCCAAGGATTCTAGTCCAAAGTATTAGATATGCTAAATCTTAGAACAATTGGTATTTTTTCAGGACAAGAATATGGAAATGTGAATTACATTTGTTGTAGAAGAAAATTAGCCAGCATTAGGGACTTAAGTCCCCCCTCCAGGTCTACTCTTCAAGAATAAAGAAAAATGATAAGAAAATCACTTTTGACCCAAATGACTATGAGTTTGGCTTTCCTTTCCTCTTCCTTCTCCCCTTTGCTGCTTATTAAAGGGTTCTCCCAGTCTTGGGGGGACTTGGGTCCTGATCGTTTGTACACATTAGAAAATTAAGAATAAGATCCCTTTAGCTCATACCTTCAGTTTTTCAGGATTTTTCTTTTCATTTGAGCTTCCTGTCTACCATATCATGAGTTTAGGATCTCATTTACTATGAAACCAATTGAGATGATTACATATTGAATTATTAAGAAGTAGAATGTCTGCAGATCGCAAGATTTATTTGGAGTTTAATGGGCAGAAAAAAATATTCACAGAAAGTAGTTATTATTTCAAGAGACAATGCCATAGTTCTTCTGTTCCTGAACACTTGAGGCCACAGAACACAGAATATTTTGACTCTGTAAGTTCTGTTATTTGGAGAGATGGGTAAGCTTTATTGAGTGTGCTAAATACATATTAAAACCAATAAAACACCTGGTACCACCTTGTGAAGGACTGTTAGTCTTTTCACATCCCTGAGTTAGGTCCCTATAGCCAAAGTTATTGGAATTTGTCAGCCTTTCCTTCTGCCTTCAGGGCAACCTCGACTTCATCTGTGAGCAGTGGTCTGGAACTGATCCTTTGCAATGGCACGTTTGGGGTCAGGGTGGAGCCTGGGGGAAACTCTCAGGGTAATGGACAGTACTCTCTGGCTCCTAGAGCCAGTCCTGTACGTGCTTGTTTACACTCATCCAAAAGGCGAATTTTAACCTTGTAGCCCTGAAGTTAATTTCTGAATACGGGTGCACTGGAATCATCTCTGGCCCTACGTAGATGCAGGGCTAAACCATAGACTCCACGCTAATGTAAAAAAAAAAAAATGTTTTTGAGTAAGATTTCCTACTTAATGTTCATGTTTATTACTGGGTGTGTTAATCACTTTGGCTTTGACATTCTTTTTGGTTTCCTGCTGTTATGTATAAAACAATGGCTTGAAAGAGCTTTTTTTTTCCTCCCAAAGGCTATTTTTAGAACTGTTGAAGCTATATTCATGAAAGATATATTTATAATGCCTTGGGCATTTTTAAAGGTTGGGTATTTGTACAAGGGACTAAACTGTCAGTTTGATTTTTCAGCTGGTAAATCAAGCTTCTATAAAAGCAACAGAAGGTATTTTGGTTTTTTTAAATTATTCATGGCAACTCAGTTAAGCTCGCTTCTAAGACCAGTCATAAATATTTCTTTGCTTAAGAAAGAGAAATGGTTTAGGACCAAAGGTTCTTTGATGCATCTCCATTGTTCTGCGAACCCAGGATTTTGACTAATGCCTATTTACAGATGTAGGAAAATTTCTTTCAATTTTTTACAGCAACCATTTTCTCTTGGTTGTAAAGCTGTTTATGACCAATTGAAACAAATAATGTGGTGGCAGTTCCTTGTATCTGTTTATTTTTGTCCCTCCCATGGATATTAATCTTACAGTTCTGCTAAGAGATGGTAAATTTCATTTCTCACTTTTTAAATACCTAAGTCATCCCTCAGTCATATATCAGAGTTAGGAAGTTTATTTTCTAGTCAATGATCATGTATCAGTATACAAAAGATGAAAGGATTTAAGAAAAAAAATTAAACTTTCCATTCTTCCAAGTTTGTCATTTTCTTCTGGCTTTAAGCCCGGTCTTGGAGCCAGAAGGAGTGATACATTCACTTCTAGGAGATGGATGGGTGTAAGTGATATATTAGAGGATATGTATGCTAGAAGATGATGCTCTCAAATGAGGGATGGCAAGCCTAGCTTTCAGTCCATGTTTTTGCATAAGATCATCGATGGTACCAGGCCGCATGGTGCAATCATGATGTTACTTAGAGGCCCATTTTTTTAAAAATATTTTTTCTAGCCATGACTCTTAGTGATGTGAATCTATCACATGTATTATAGAGATCGTGTCTCAGAGGAAAAACAATAAACTTTTAAGTTTATTCATCGATTTTACACACTGTGTTTTCCATGGGTTTGGAAACTTGCATTGGTATTTATGGTAAGGTGCTTCTCGGCTACCTTTGGGCTTCTTCCCACCTTGTTTCTCCTTTGTCCATCAGACCCGTGCCAGATCGACGCCTGGTCTGCTCAGAGGCAAGCTGAGTGGCTTTAAGAAGCTCTTAGTAAAGAAGCCCTTGTAATGAGATCTTTCTTTTTATAGCCCTAGAGGAAAATTCTCACATTTTACGCAATGTCTTAGCTGTGTCCTCTCTCCTGTAGCAGCTACATGATACTATACTCCATGATACATTATACCATCCTATACATGATACTATAGACCAGAGCCACCGATTTCACCCTTTATGGACGATGACATGCTCCCTTCCTCTAACTCCCCCTTTGATTTTTCATCATAGAAATGACAGGTGGCAAAGAAGACGGGCAGCATAGGAGATAGATTTAGGAATTAAAAGCTGGAGCTAGTAGCAAGTAATTTTTAGGTAGCAAACATGTGCTTTGGTGAACCATTGAAAGACTATTTGGGGCTGGTGGAAGCAGATAAATATGAACACGATCTTAAGGGATAAATGTTCATACGTTGTACCAGCTCTGAACTTATTTTAATCACTTTCTTCTTTACCATTGGCTCTGTACATCTCAGTGACTGTAAGTAGCAACAAGTTTCTGAATAGGACTGTTTGAAGCACGGTGGCTTTTCTTATGTTGGTGTATATTATAAAGAGAATGAGCCTATTTGTAATCGTGGGTGAGAAGGGCCTCTTGCACAGCCTGAGTATTTAAGAAGTTGCCAGTGTTAAGCTAAGCCTTTCCTTTGGTCCCATACTGGGACGAGGACCCAACACAGAAAGTGTCAGCCATGAAAATCATTAACTACAAGAAGCATCTGCATCACAGTTTTGGAGGAGAAGCCAAAAAGAAAAGAGAAGTCAATGTTAAAGAGCTAAGACAAACCTATCTTCCCAGAAGATGAAACAAAGTAGACCTTTGCCTTGCAACTTGATGCCCTGTTTCTATGCCAAGGTTGGTGTAAAAATAAAACTAGTTACTGCTAGTTCAGATCCAAGACGTTCAGTGTAGCTCAGAAGACTCTTCTTGCATCCTTAAAAGAGGAGCTTGGAGGGAGATGGAAGAAGAGCACATACTTACATTAAGTTGAAAAGGAATAGGAGGAAGAATATACATTTATAAATGAAGAACTCCTACTACTTTTTCTTTTTTTATTACAGATTTTATTTTGAATTTTGTGAATAATACACAAATACATTCTTTGCATAAAAGAGTGAAGCAGTATAAATGTTCTTAACCACTCTCCATCTCTAACCCCAGTCTTAGTCTTCTCTTTAGAAGGCAACCCTGGTAACAGCTTCATGGTATATTTCCAGGTCTCCTTTGAAGGAATTTTACATGTGTAACTATGGAAATATTTCGGTTTTTTTTTTTATGTCTGTTTGTATCCTAAATACCATCATATTATTTTTACTGTTCCGTGAACCCATGTTTTACGTTATAATTTGTCTTAGAGAACTTTTCATGTAAGTACCTGTGTATCTATCTCATACTTTAAATTGCTGTATCAAATTCCATAGAATGGATTACTAAATTTTATTGAATGATAATCTCTCACTGATGGACTATTTGGTGTTTGTTTCTGATTTGGGACTACAGAAAACAATCCTGCAATAGTCAGCCTGTGTATCCTGCTCCGGGTATATGGGTCAGGGTTTCCCTGAGGTAAATGATCAGAACTACAATTGGTGATTGAAAGCTATACATATCTTAAATTTTAGTTAATAGTTGCATCATTTTATAACCCTGCCAGGCTTGTGTGAGAGGAACTGTTTCCTCAGGCCTCACCAACACTATTAAGAAACATTTTATTTTTGCCAATCTGATGCAACTGTTGTATCTCTTTGTTTTAATTTGCCAATGTCCGACTTGCTGGTAAACTGTACATATTTTTATACATTTATAGACTGTTCCTGTTTTTCTGTTACATAAATCTTATATCCCTTGCCTTGTGTTGAGAGTTTTCTATGTATTCTAGATGTTAATCCTTTAGCTGTTATAGATGTTGCAAATACTTTCTTCCTGTTTGTGGTTTGTCTTTAAATTTCTTAACTTTTAACTTATGCATGGCAAAAGATGACTTGTCATTTTCAATTTTGATGTATTCACATTTCATTCTCTCTTTTTTTTTACTTTTTGCTTTACTTAAGGACTTTCTTATTCCTCATCCTTATGGCCACCATTATTATTAATTTAAGTTTCTAATCTTAGTCTGTTCAAGCTGCTTTCACAAAATACCATAGACTGCGTAGTTTATGCACAACAGGAATTTATTTCTCCCAGTTCTGGAGGCTGGAGTCCAAGGCCAGGGCCCTCTTCCAGGTTGCAGACTTCTCCTTGTATCTTCACATGGTGAAAGGGGCTGGGGAGATCTTCGGAGCCTCTTTTATAAATGCACTAATCGCATGTATCATATGACCTCACTGATATGAGGAGTTCTTAATCTCAGGAAACAAACTGAGGGTTGCTGGAGTGGTGGGGGGTGGGAGGGATGGGGTGGCTGGGTGATAGACATTGGGGAGGGTATGTGCTATGGTGAGCGCTGTGAATTGTGCAAGACTGTTGAATC